ATCTTACCTTCCCCTTAAGTTATCCGCGTAATATTTGTGCAAGTGGACAATCGCGCGTTAGCACCTGACAATTTGGATATATATATTATATTCCGGTCCCTCCGCTCTTTCTTTCAATCATACCCTTTCATACTACCGGAATTGCATATCACGCAGCAAACGACTATTAGAGATCAGCTTATTGCAGTGCTTTCAACCGCCTTGACCTGCACAGATCACATTTTCTTGTGATATCAGGCAGCTAGGGACCTTCCCCTCGAGCATCTTCTTTCCGCCAAACACTTAACCAAAAAATGATACTAGACCATGGACCCCCAAAGGTGTGTTTCAGACCTCCCTTACGTTTGCAGTATACCGCAAGCGATTTGAGAGATATCTGAATCTATTTGGAGAACTCTCTAAGTAAGTTGCGGAATGTGCTAATTGATTCAACCTATTAAAGGATATGCCGTGACTTCGCTAGAGGCAATTGCCGACGGAAGAAATGCAAATTTGCTCATGTGAGCAATGACCAAAGCCTTAGCCCAAAAGTCCCGACTAGCCAGATCCAATGCACTGAGCCCTTGCCCCGAGGAGATCGTGGCTTGCTGAATGCAGAAAAGGCATTTCGAGTATGGCAAGGCAGCATTCCTTCACGCGCGACAGTCATCCGTCCCTCTTCAGGGAAGAAAACGACCATCTTTCGGAAAGCGAGGGAACTGATTGAATCTGACGCCAGTATACGACAAGAAGTTATCCGGACATTGGCGAGTGAAGATGGCTTGCGCCTCGTCTTGGACCTTGTCGAGGAGAATTTCGAACACATGGACGCCGCAACGAGAGACCTAATTTTCAAGACTCAGGTGCTACCTTTTCTAGAGACTATTTCAAATCCTGAGGTTGTCTCCTCTCTGGTACTGGAGCAGGCAGTGGGCACAATCTACAATGTCTTGTTTGGAATTGACGGATCCAGAGCAGCGCGATGGCTCAATTTCATCTGTGGGGTTCTCGAAGTCGACACCACCAATGAAGGCAGTGCCATGTTACTGGAGGCATCTCTACACACGTTTTCTCGCATTGCGGACCTGAATTCTACGGCTCCTATCCAGGACTGTCTGCATGCCGTTGCACAGAGATTTGAAACTGTGTTTACCTCGATGAATAGCAAGAATGGCATGAGCGGTAGGCTTTATCAATCTCGGCTGCATCTTGATCGTCTTCTTCAACGCATGGAGACTGGAAAGTCGCTCCCAACGGGTACTCCAGAGAAGAAAGCCAAGAAGGAAAGCAATGTCGCTTTTGTCGCCAACCGCGAGAGTCCCGGGGGCAGACACAACAATGACTTCGACGACATCTGCCAGATTAGGATCATGCCTAGCTTCGAAGAAATATGCTGCCTTCGAGGGGAGTACTTACCTGTCAATAACCCACTTATGTGGCATATTGATGGCATCGACGGATTGCTAGATCGGAACTTTCGGTTGTTGCGAGAAGACACCATTGGTCAACTTAGAGATGCAATCCACCATGAACTAAGTCCGCGTGCCCAGAAGTCACAATTGCGCAAGTTCGTATATCCTAAGTCCTCGGTGGTCAGTCTCGAATTCAATTGGCTTTCGGGTCTTTACTTCGAAGTCGACTTCCCTCAGCCTGCTGCTGTAGCAAACTACACACCCATGGCCCGAGAGATGTGGTGGCAGAACTCAAAGCGTCTACAGCCCGGCGCGCTTGTGTGTCTGATCATTCAAAAAGATGTGGTGTTGTTTTGCACCGTCACACATCGTGACATGTCACCCAGGCGTAAGAGGGATGACAACCTCCCACATGATCACAACCCCCGACAGGACAGGGCAGAGTCAAGGGCATTGTGGAAGAGCTCCACGAGAGGCTCGATTATGTTGATGCTTGTTGATTCTCGGTACACCAACACTCAAGTCGTTCTGGACCTTTTTAGTTCCAAGAAGCCTACTATGTCTCTGGTGGAGTTCCCAGGAGTCATTCTTCCAGCCTTTGAACCGGCGCTCCAAGCACTTCAATCAATGAAGGTGGCCCAAAACCTGCCTTTCCCAGAGCTGTTTGTTCCGTGGGTCTTCGAGAATTTCAACATATCCGATATGGCTCCTCCACTATATGCTTCGCAGCCTGGCTTTGCATTCAATCTCCGCTGCCTCATGAAGGATGATACTAATTTCTTCGTCCGCGTCAATCAACCATCTGACGTGAAATATGTACAGGATCATTCAACCCTGGATGGCGCACAGGCTCATGCATTAATCAGTTGCTTGAAGCGAAAGCTTGGTTTGATACAAGGGCCACCTGGTACCGGCAAGAGCTACACTGGTGTGGCTCTTGTAAAGGTTTTACTGGCAAACAAAGAGGCAGCCAGAGGGAAGTTAGGGCCCATATTATGTGTTACATATACCAATCATGCTCTTGATCAACTTCTTGAGGCTTTACTGGACAACAATGTGACCTCGCAAATCGTTCGTATTGGATCCCAGTCCAAGTCGGAGAGGCTGGAAAGATTCAACCTTCAGACTGTCGCCAAAGATACAGCAAGAACAAAGATGGAGAAGAAAGAAAGATGGTACACAGCCGAGAGACTCTCATTGTGTGAGGATGAATTTCGCGCCCTTGACCTGAAAAAGGAAGTTCCCATTGCTCGTCTCAAGTCCTATATCCAGCGGGCAGATCCCAAGCACCACGATCAGCTATTTTCACTGGTTCAAGCAGATGGCCTTTTGGGAGTAAAAGCCCCCAGTCCCCAGACAACACTCAATTCCTGGCTTGACTCAGCACCTAAAGACAGTACTCGTGCACGGCATGTGGACGAGCTCATGGACATCAGTGTTTTTGAGATGTCTCGAAAAGAACGACAGCATCTTTACAACCGTTGGGTTCGTGATTGCCGGGCTGAATTGGACGAAAGCGTTAGGCAAATAATCTCGTCTCACAAGGCCGCCAAACAGGGGTACGATAGCGTCCAGGATGAGATGCACCTTCGCTGCCTAGCCCAAGCAGACGTAATCGGCGCCACTACAGCGGGACTTGCTCGCAGACTGGATATGTTTAGAAGGCTTCCATGCAAGTTCATGCTATGCGAGGAGGCTGGTGAAGTCCTTGAATCACATCTCCTTACGGCGTTTATACCTTCTGTTGAGCATGCAATCCTCATTGGTGATCAGCAACAACTTCGCCCTCAAGTCCAAAATTACGATCTTTCTAGCGAGAATCCTCGGGGTGGTGCGCAATACTCACTCGATATCTCCTTGTTTGAAAGACTGGTGAGCTCAAACAAAAGCCCCATGGACTGTGGAGCTCCGTTCAGCACGCTGGAAACACAGCGACGAATGCATCCATCCATATCTCGGTTGATCCGTGAAACCCTGTATCCAAAGCTGAAGGATGCTCCATCTGTCTCGGAGTATCCGGAGATTGCAGGGATGCGAAAAAGATTATTCTGGTTGGATCACCGACGGCAAGAAGGAGGATCCGACGCCGATGCCATGTCAACCTCTCATTGGAACCTTCATGAGGTCGATATGACCGTTTCACTCGTCAATCATCTTATTCAACAAGGTGAATACAAGCACGGAGACATTGCAGTGTTGACTCCGTATCTGGGCCAACTCTACCGACTACGAAAAAGGCTCGATGAACTCTTTGCCATTGTAGTCGGGGACCGTGATCGAGATGATCTCAAGCAGGCGGGCTACACAGATTGTGAGACCAAGGCCAAGCCAAAGATCAAAGCAGCCTTGTCACAGACTCTTCGGGTGGCCACGATAGACAATTTCCAAGGCGAAGAAGCTAAGGTTGTTGTGATATCTCTAGTCCGAAGCAACCCAAAGAACCAATGTGGGTTTCTTCGCACTTCTAATCGGATCAATGTTCTTTTGTCGCGAGCACAACACGGCATGTACATCATCGGCAATTCCGAGACCTCGATCCATGTTCACATGTGGGCTCAAGTCGTAAAGATTTTGAAGCAAGATCAGAATATCGGGAAGGCCCTGGAGCTGCAATGTCCTCGCCATCCAGATACACCGATTGCGGTTTCGACGCCAGAAGACTTTCCAAAGCTCTCTCCCGAAGGGGGTTGCAACCTGCGCTGTGTCAACCGACTAGGCTGTGGACATGCCTGCGCTCAGAAGTGCCACTCAGATCTTCTTCACAACGCTGTCTTTTGCCTAGAGCGTTGCCCTCGACCATTTAGTGGCTGTAATCATTCATGCCCTAAGCGATGTGGGGACCCTTGTCCGGAAAAGTGCATGGTAAACGTATATCAAAAGAACAGGACGCTCCCATGCGGCCATCTAATGCCAAACCTTCCTTGTTGGCAAGATCAAAATATCTCAACAGTTCGCTGTCTGTTGCGTGTGGATAAGACGATCCCGGGCTGCAATCATACCGTCTCACTGCCATGTCATATCGATGCGGAATCAAAGGATTATCGCTGCCTAGCTCAATGCCGCGCACCCCTGCTTTGCGGACACTTGTGCAAGAAGATGTGTTATCGTTGCGTCACTAGAGGACCCGAGCATATCCCAGCAAATCATGGAAATTGCGAGCAACGGTGTGACCGGAATCATTCTACGTGCGCTCATACCTGCAGCTTTCCCTGTCACGGTGAGGAGCCCTGTCCTCCATGCAAAGCTCCTTGCGAAGTGCACTGCGGCCATTCCAAGTGCCCACGAAAGTGCTTCGATCCGTGCACTCCTTGCGCAGAAGAAAAATGTCTTTCAGCGTGCCCTCACAGCGTCTGCTCAATGCCATGCGCAGCCCCTTGTGATCATGTTCCATGTTCCAAGCGATGCGAAAAGATGCTGACTTGTGGGCATCAGTGCCCGTCAGTATGCGGAGAAAAATGTCCTTCATCCTCCTTCTGTCAAATCTGCGGAAATGAGGACATCCGAAATCATCAAGTCGATTTCATTCTGGGTCAAACGTACAAAGAAATCGACCTGGATGAAACCCCATGCATATTCCCCAAATGTGGCCATTTCTTGACGATTGAAAGCATGGATGCGCAAATGGACATGGCTAGCTATTATGAGGTCGACGCCAGTGGCAAGCCCATCTCTATCTCCGTATCATTGGCCCCGTTCTCTATTCAAGATATCAAAACATGCGCCACCTGTCGTGGCCCATTGAGAGATGTCGCCCGATATGGCCGGCTGATTCGCCGAGCTATCCTCGATGAGTCGACGAAAAAATTGATCATCTTGCTCAACCGGGAATATGTCCCTCTTGCATTAGAACTTCCCCAGCTTGTTCGTGAATTGCATGAAACCAAAGGTCAAAGAAAGTTTCCTTGGCCAGCGGTGATTGAGATATCTGGCTCGCGAAGCCATCAAATCCAGATAATGGGAGAAATCATCCAAAACACAAATCCAGATCGATGGGATTCAATCCTTGACCTACGAACGCGCGTTGATCTCTATCGGCGCCGTGTGAAACCCGAGGAGCAACCATTTGAAAGAGTTCGGAAAATGATTGAAAATGCTCGACAACGCCAGAAAATCACAATCAACCCTGATCACGTCGATAATGTGTTACAGACCAAAGGCTTCCTCCAGGGTACCGCGCTCTTAATTCGTATAGACATTGCTTTGCTCGTTGACCTTTTGAGTCTCGTTTCCCAAGCACGACCAAGTGATGTTATACCTCGATTCGAGCTTGATCTACAGGAAATCAAGGATGATTGCCAGACCCTTATCCACCAAGCCGTCGCTCACCAACGACTTCTGCAGCAGGTAGAAGGTCATATTTTCCTAGCACAGCTCTATGCCCTCGAACGAGCACATTGCTTGACACCAGAAAAGAGGAACAAAATCTTGAGAAATGGCCAGATTGCCATTCAAAAAGCTCAAGGTCTTTGTGATGCGCACCCAGGCCAGACACGAGGATTGGCAGATGAAGTTCGCAGCGTTGAGAAGATGTTGCGCAAAGGCACCTTCTACACAATCATCACCAACGAGGAACGCATTGAAGTTATTTCGGCAATGGCTGAAGAGTTCAGAGGAACTGGGCATTGGTACTACTGTCGCAATGGGCATCCGTTTACCATTGGCGACTGTGGACTAGCCAGGGAGACGAGTCAATGTCCCGAGTGCGATTCCCCCGTGGGAGGCGAGCATTCTCTATTGGCAGAAGGGGTTAGACATGCGGTGGACTGGGATCTGGATAGGGAGAGATTGAATCTTTAGGGGGAGAGGTGGTTGATTTGCTTGTTGCACTCATACTTAGGCAACCCAATTTGTTGCCGTATGGCAGTTATTAAGGACAGATTTATTTATTTTTGTCTAACCTAAATGGCCTTTGAAAATTCTAGGAATATAGAAATATAGAAGTTAAACCATTTAAATCTTTATACGTGAAAGGACTGGCAATATAAGAGGTGGAATGTTATGAACCAACTACCTTGGAGTCGCTATCCGCTGCCGTAAGTCCACACGGGGTGACGTCTCGGGGAGTCTCAAGGTGTCACGCAGCTTATCCTCCACCAACTTCCTTCTGCTCTTCCCCCTCCCCCATTATTCTTCCCACCTTGTTTCTTGTCACATGAATTGATTCGCACAATCTCTCGCTAGCTCATTGTCTTTGCATTGCATGTGTTCACCCTGCTCTTCCCCTAGCTTCCGCCCCTCACCCATTCCATGATGGCTAGCCCACCACCCGTCACCGAGGACCAGAACCGCCTCCTCGAGGAGGCATTGGGGGTGGTGAGGCAGCAGTCGAATCTGATGCGCAAATGCCTAGAGACTCCTGGAAAGCTCATGGATGCGCTGAAATGCGGGTGAGCTCCCCCAATAAAACTCCCCAGGCAGCGACCTCGGAACGTGCGTATGCTAACAGCTTGAAATTACCTCCTCAGATCGACTCTTGTCTCCGAACTACGAACCCCTAGTCTCGGACCGAAGCAGTATTACGAATTGTATATGGCCGTCTTTGATGCGTTGCGACACCTTTCCGTCTACCTAAAGGAGAACCACCCCGTCAACCACCTGGCCGACCTATACGAGCTCGTTCAGTATGCCGGCAATATAGTCCCCCGCTTGTACTTGATGATCACCGTGGGTACGGTTTACATGTCCGTCGAAGATGCGCCGGTCAAGGAGATCATGAAGGATATGATGGAGATGAGCCGCGGCGTGCAACACCCGATCCGTGGCCTGTTCTTGCGATACTACCTCTCCGGTCAAGCACGGGATTATCTGCCTTCCGGAACCGGTGATGGCCCTGAGGGTAATATGCAGGATTCGATCAACTTTGTTTTGACGAATTTCGTGGAAATGAACAAGCTCTGGGTTCGGCTTCAGCACCAGGGTCCCTCACGAGAGCGAGATAGGCGCATACAAGAACGACGCGAACTGGAGTTACTCGTTGGTAGCAACATTGTTCGACTCAGCCAGCTAGTTGATCTTGAAGGGTACAAGTCGGGCATTTTGCAAGCGCTTCTTGAACAGGTTGTACAATGCCGGGATGTCCTCGCGCAAGAATATCTCCTGGAAGGTACAGCTCTCTTGTTTCTTTTTTACTGTACTGGGAAAATACTCTTGCTTGATCCATTTGCTAATCTGGTCAACAGTCATCACAAAGGTCTTCCCAGATGAGTTCCACCTGCATACCTTGGATCTTCTATTATCTGCCATTGCCAGACTTAACCCGCACGTGGATATGAAGAAAATCGTCATTGGCCTTATGGACCGTTTGTCTTCTTATGCGGCAAGGGAAGCAGACTCAACAGTAGAGCCGCAAGCACGGAAACAAAGCGAGGAAGAAGCTGTCACCAAGCTATTGCAAAGGCTCGAGCTTGACAAAGAAACCAAAGCCGAAGAGCCAAAGGACGTCAGCACCGATGACACTTCCAAGGAAAATGGCATCGAGAACGGCGAAGCAGAAACACCCGAAGAAACCCTCGAGCCTGTTGAGCCGCCAACAGAAGAAAAGCAGGTTGAGAATGGGGACGACGCTAAGCCTGGTATCCCAGCAGAAATCAAGCTGTACGATATCTTCTACGATCAAGTGGTCAATCTGATCAGAACGCGTGCATTGCCGATTCAAGATACCATGGCCCTATTAGTATCACTTGTCAATCTGGCATTGAATACCTATCCAGATCGGTTAGAGTACGTCGACCAGGTCCTGGACTTTGCGACGCAAAAGACTGCAGAATACACCGATCATGCCGATTTGCATTCGGCTCCAACCCAACAACACATCCTCCACCTTCTCAATGCTCCTCTCAAATCTTACTTTTCGATCTTCACAGCCTTGGCGTTGCCACATTACCTGCCACTACTGAGCTCACAGTCATACCCCACAAGGAGGGCTGTTGCAGGCGAGGTCATTCGCAGTCTTCTGAAGAACAAGATCTTGGTGTCCACAACAGAAAACCTTGATCGTGTGCTCCAGGCAGCAAGAGTGTTGATCAAGGAAGGCATGCAGCAGTCTGCTGGATACCCCGGGTCACAGTCCCAACGGCGGGGAGGAGAAACTGATGAGACGGTAGAAGAGCAAGGGTGGCTTGCGAGACTCGTGCACTTGATTCAGGCACCGGACAATGACACCCAGCTAAAGGTATGATCAATCCACAGATATTGTATCCCTATAATTAACAGTCTGTGGCAGCTTCTCCAAGCAACACGCAAGGCATTGGCCGATGGTAATGAACGAATCCGCTACACTACCCCTTCAATTATAACGGCCTCGATCCGATTGGCCCGCAAACTGAAGTCGCGCGAGCACTACGACGACAATTGGCAATCACAGTCTTCGGCTCTATACCGATTCATGCACCAGAGTATCAACAATTTGTACCAGCGCGTAAATCCAGGTTGCGCCGATCTCGCACTGCGACTGTTTGTCATGTGTGGCGAGGTTGCCGATCAAACTGGATTCGAGGAAGTCAGCTACGAATTCTTCGCGCAGGCATTCACGATCTATGAAGATGCGATCAGTGACTCGCGCGCCCAGTTCCAGGCCGTCTGCATTATCTCAGGCGCCCTACACGGGAGTCGTGGATTCTCTAAGGAGAATTATGACACACTCATTACCAAGGCTGCACTTCACGGAAGCAAACTCCTCAAGAAGCCCGATCAATGCCGCGCGGTGTATCTCGCCAGCCACCTCTGGTGGGTAGTGGAGAACCCCCAACGTGAAGAAGATGACCCCAAAGATGTAAGTTTCAGCTCCAATTCCAATGTCTTAGTACCTTTTAGCTGACGTCAATTTTGCAGCTGTACCGCGACGGCAAACGGGTCCTCGAGTGCCTCCAGCGTGCTCTCCGTGTGGCTGACGCCTGCATGGATACCGCTGTCTCCGTCGAGCTCTTTGTGGAAATCCTGAACCGTTATGTTTACTATTTCGACCAGCAAAACGAGACCGTCACTACTAAGTACTTGAACGGTCTCATCGAACTCATCCACTCCAACCTGCAGACCAATGAAGACGAAGCAAATGCCAATCTCGACGGCCCGAAGCGCCACTTCCAACGCACGCTGGAGTATATTCGCTCTCGCGAGTACGAAGGCATTGTGACAGAACCACCAAAGTAATTCCCAGGTGGGACCTTCAAGGAGCACTGTATGTCATGTGTCATGTGAGGATTTTTGCCTTGATCCTCCTAGCAGGACTCGTTGTTTGTGCTCTACTATTTCCTTGGTCTCTTTTGTCTTTCTCTTTTTCCTGGAAGCCCGCCTCTTTTTCTCTCTTGCTACTCCTCGGTTTTCTTTCATTCCTAGTATATACAAGTGTATCATTGTCTCCGGATAACACCATACCCTTTCAACATAATTGTATTGGCCATGGACAACTTCTGTTTTTCCTTTTTGTAGAACAAACAAGCACCTGGGCAGCACCGATATGTTGGTTAATCATCGAAAATATGATCACATCCATAAAAGGGAGCCATACCGAATTCCCTCTAGAGTATATATATAACTCAAACCTTTCTTTCTGCATAGCACGTGATGACTATACATATATTTCTACGTTCCTAAGTTCCATTCCTAATTTCTACGCGGAAACAAAGCCGAAGAAACCTTCGATCATGCAATTGATCATGACGATGACGGAGTGGGAGACTAACCCTAACTCCACGGATATCGCTGCATAATGTAGAAAGGCCAGACTCATACGGTACATAAAACAAATCCGGATGCCGTACTTCAAAAAGTAAAGCATCCAACCACATTGGAAAAAATACCAAGCAAATAAAGAACCCATATCGATAGCAGTAGCTCTTTCGAGTAGAAAGATGTAGGCAGATGTGTGAGTATGACGTTAATCCATGACGCTTCAATAAAAGAGGATGAAAAAGAAAAGGAAATGAAAAAGAAATAGATGAGAGGGCATTTCAAAGTCGTTCCAGTAAGAGTGCAGAAAGGAGGCCGAGAAGAAGATACATCCCAAGGCCGGGTTGGCATCAAATCATGATCAGGATAGAGAAGTCCCGCCGAATAAGCCAGTCGGAGGTGAAGAATACTGCCGCAGCACGGAGGGCCCACCAAATCCACTGAAGGGGGCTGGGTGGCTGTTACTGGGGATCGGGCTGCCGATATCACCAGGCACAATGCTACCCCGATGACCGGAGACCGCGCTGTTGGGGTCGGGCTCGAATCGGACTGACTTGCCACTCGGGCCTTCCTTGATAGAGAACGATCCGCCACCATTCTGTGGACTGCCTTCTGTATCGCAGATATCAAGCATTTCATCTAAAGAGATCGATGGCTCGCCTGAGTTGCGCAGTTGCTCCACCTGACCGAGAACAAGGTTCACATCGTGGAAGCTTCCAGCACCCTTGTGCGGGCTGGTCATCGAGTTCAGCTGCTTGCATGCTTGGATGACCAACAGGCGAATTGTAACGGGTCGAGAGGTGTGGGGCCGATGATGACCACCCGCTGCGAAGGCATTATTGGGAGGCCAGCCAGTTCCGGTGGGGGTGGGGCCCCATGTGGCAGGGAAGGGCGAGCCCCCAAAGGGCGTCGCACTCCATGTGGGGTTTCCAATTGGAGAACCAACCGCGAAGTTATTGTGTGAGGATCCAAGAGGATCCGAGAACAAGGACGATCCTTGGAAGCTCGCTCGGGTTGGCCCCGGGAATGCCCCGGGTGCGGGGGCACCAGGCAATGATTGAGACAGGTTTGATGGATATGTAGCATCAGTGTCATCAAGAAGCGCACTGCTACCTAGATGAGCACTCAAG